GCCGTCGAAATGAGTGCGTTCGACATAGAATATAAGCTGAGGACTGTAATTAAATCGCAAATCTTGGCTGACTTCGTGGCCGATTTCAGTTCGGGATTATTGCCTCAGGCAACCAAGGAAGCAATGATGATGTCATAATCGACATCACGAGTTTGAACCTTATTTATGGATAGAGCTTCCAATGTGAAAGGGTCCGGTCTCGGTATAGTCTTAATCACGCTTTCGGGGGAAACCCTGAGGCAAGCCATCGGGACGGTTTATTTAACTAACAATGAAGCAGAGTATGAAGCTTTGATTGTAGGACTCATGGCCCGGGGACTTGACTCCGAGGTCATCGAAATCAAATATGACTCACAGTTGGTGGTAAATCAGGTCTACGGGATCTTCGAGTCCAAAGAGGAGCGCATGCAACAATACGTGGTAAAGGTTCAAGCTCTGCTGGCGCGATTCCGAGAGTGGTCAATTACTCATATCCCAAGGGAAGAAAACGAAGAAGCAGACGTATTGGCAAACCTAGGATCATCAACAGAAACAAAGGGATCAGAGTCCGGGTCGGTAGTACAACTGATGAACTCAGTCTTGGATATAGATGGTTACTACGAGGTAAATTCAACTAGTCTGGTCTAGGACTGGAGGAATGAAATTATCGATTATCTCGAACATGGGATACGTTATGACATGTGCCCGTCCAAGAAAGGGATACGTAGAGCCCAAGACTGGGAGATGACTAAAGACTGACGACAACTGTTTCATTTGTCACTGGGAAGAATAATGCTCATAAAGATGTGATAAATGCTCTTCTCCCGGTAGCATTCAATAGAGAATATTCATAACATTAAGAGCAGTTATCCGTTATAAGGAATTTAGCATTTATGTTCACCGTTACATCTTCATAAATGCCCCTCATAATTGACATTAAAGAAGGGCACGACCCTAGGACTTTTTTCATAGCTATAAATAGTGAGCTCGGTTGTCATTGTAAGGTGAGGAATTTTATGGCAAACCTACACTATATTTTATACAAAGCTCAATCCAATCTTATCTTTTGATTTCTCGATTCTTTTGTTGTTGTGCCCGGAAACCTTATTCCCGGAATTGTTGCTTCTGCTGTTTCGTCTATATCTTAAGGCTAAGTATTGCGTAGTTCTTCAATTATTTATTTATTTCAGGATCAAATTAATTCACTTATCTAGAAACCACGTATAAATTCAACTGTATCGTTTTACGGGTAAACAACTAATCCGAGTCCATTTTTCTTTCCTAAATAGAAAAAAAGAGTTTGATTAGAATTTCTAAATTTTCTTCGTTTCAAATAGAAGTCAAAAGTTGGACGAAACATAAAAAACCAATAAGAGAAATTGTAATTCCCTTATCTTTCTGCTTTTTCTTCCTTTCTTCCCACGTTATGATAGGTGGGAGTTCTATAGAAGTCCTTGTAATAAATAAAAGATTGTAATAAATAAAAGAAGTCCAAGTCCTTGTCATTTCATTTTCTTTCTGATAAGCAAAAACCACTTTTTGGGTACTAATCACGTTGTGTCAAAATTACTTTCTAGAACTAAAATGGTCTTCTCTACACATTTTCTATTAATTTCCCTTCTCTACCATCTTATTCTTTTCATACTTATCTTAGACTAATCATAAATTATTTCCATTTTTCTAAACACAATTTTAGCTAGAAAACAATTTTTCTGAAATTCATAGGGAACATGTAGAAAATTTCGACTGCCCCTAGAATTACATAATTTTTATGGTGAATTTTTTTTTTTGTTGGTTTAGGGATAAGTTTTCATGATCTGAATTCCAATTTGATTAAATTATACAGACCAGCCTTGAGCCTAGCTTATATCTTTTAAGACGGTGGTAATTTTTGGGTCAAAATGATAATTAAAGTACGGCATTATAAATGCTATTTACTTGACATATCAATGAAATATGAAGTTGTCCATAAAGGGGAAAAATGCAAATTTTTGTTATTTGGAGATACCTAACACGTTGTTTTTCTTTTATAGTCAATATTAGTGGAAAAATATAAACTTAATTTTTCTATAAATCTATACGGTTATAAATTATAATAGCAAATATTGCATAATGAGTCGCATTTGTCAAAAATCTAAAAACATATATTTACTATAGGAAAAAGTCTTGATCATCATTACTTTTAAAGAAGAATAGGTAGAGGTCTTTTTGATTTTTTCTCAATGTATTTTCGGAAAAAGAGAAATAGAAGAAGATAAAACAATACAAACTTATTTGCTTGAGTTTGGCATCAGGAGAATTCGAGAAAATACCTCATAATATTTTTTTTCTCCAAATTCTAAATTTTAAAAAGCGTTTTTTCTTCAAGATAATTAAGCTCCTTTGTATTTTTCAAACGAGTAAATCCTTTAAAGTTCAGACAAGTATACTTTAGACATCCAAAACTAAAGACCAAAAAAATCCCATTAAATGCTATTATCCAAATTTTAAATTCTGAAAGATCTTTTAAGAAAATCGTATTTGATGCTTTTTTCCAAATTTTAAGTTCCGAAAGATTACCGCCAAGGTTCTTTTTGGTCAACACGATATTATATTAGGCCAAATAGGTGTACGGCCCCTTAAACTTGGCTCCAGTTTTTATTTTGACACCTTAACTTAACTTTTTTCCTATTGAACACTTTAACTGTACTTTGGACTATACCATTTAAACACAACGCATGGCCGGGCTGTAAAAACTTAAGCGCGTGTTTTTAAACGCTTCCCATGTGGAATAACATACTAATAATAGTCTGACACGTGTTTATTTATCCAGGTCGGATAAAAAATTCTATTTTTACCTTACCCACATACCTCGCCTCACTTAATCGATCTTCCACCCAAAATCCCCTTTCTTTAGCCTAATAAACCCTAATAAACTACATTGAGACCGATTCCCGGTGGAATCTTCATCGATTTTGAGTTAGATTCAACTGTCCGTCAACTATTTGGCCATTATATTACTAATACAGGTAATCGTTTGCTTCTTTTGATCGTGGTGATGAGTGGAGTTGGACGTAACTGGAGCTGGTCGTGACTAAAGTTTCGAGGGTCTAGACATATCTGGAGACGAATATATTCTTATCGATTTTTACCATGGTGGACATATTGTCAAGGATCCTGTCCCGAGATATGTAGGAGAGAGGGGTGAGGATGGTCACATGATAGACAAGGACCACTTTTCTCTTTTTGAGCTTCTGTCCTACACAAAGGATATGGGTTATGCTGAGGTAGAGGGTTTTTATTTAATTAATCCTAAATCTAATGACTTTATCTTGATTGAAAATGATGAACAACTGTATAATATAGTTTATCACCTTAATCATCTTGATCATTTAGATTTGTATATTAAGCATGTAGTTAATGAGCCTGTGTTGCTTGATGAGACTGTCTCATGTGGCCTTTTATGTGGGCCAGAAGTTGTTGAACCAAGTAAAAATACATTAAATAAAGAGGCTAGGGGAACATCTATTGTTCCAGATGCTATAAATGTTCAAGAAAGTGCTGCAGATAACACATCTGTGCCTGAGGAAAATCTAGCTGATGTTGGGGTTGCAGGTGAGAATTTACAAGGGGCTGAAGAAACAACAAACATATATGCTAGTTTGGCATCAGATCTGTTAAGTAGTGAGTCTGAATTAGCTAACATTCCTGATGAAGATGATAGTGATGTGAATGAAGAGCAACTGAAGAGATTATTCTGGGAGAAGCTGGAATAGATAAAGGCTTTGAGGATATTGGCAGACCATCTAAGGAGGACAGGTTTGCTGGAAAATTAGGAGGAGGTGAAGACTACTACATCAGTTCTGATATTGGAAGTGATGATAGCACAGATGAGTTAGATGTTTTAGCTGAAAGGGGTATTGACTTACCTCTTAGAAGGAGAAGTAAAAAGGTAAGGTTTGACCCTGACTGTTACCTTGCTATTTTTGAGCTTGGTATGGTATTTGAAAATACTGTAGAATTTAGAAAAGCAGTAGCCTCATATGCTGTGGAGAACAAAGTACAACTAACAATTAGGCCTAATGAAAAGGATAGGGTTAGAGTTAAGTGTAAAGGATCCAAGTGTAACTGGGAATTATATGCAAGCAATTATGGAGATTCATGTGACTTTACTGTGAGGAAGTACCATCCATCTCATAAGTGCAACACCAAAAATAAGAACAAATTATGTACTTCTAAGTACATTGCCAATAAGTATAAAGATAAAATTATTTTCCAGCCAAATATTAAGTTGTGGAAGATTCAGGATTTGGTCAGGGATAAGTTAGGTTTGTATATTGGAAGGACTGTTTGTTACAGGGCTAAGTGTATGGTGATAAGTCTATTCATGGTTGACTGGAGGATGAAATTTAATAGACTTGCTGATTATGCTGATATTATTAAGCAAACAAATCCTGGGAGTTCATGCTAGATCAGAACAGATAGTGAGACTATTCCTGGCAAGAATCTGTTTGTCTATTTCTATCTATGTTTAAATGCTTTGAAAAGAGGATGGTTAGAAGGGTGCAGAAGGATTATAGGATTTGATGGCTGTTTTCTAAAGGGAATCTGCAAGGGTGAGTTACTTGTTGCAGTTGGTAGAAATGGGAACAATCAAATATTTCCTATTGCATGGGCTGTAGTTGATCAAGAGATAAAATACTTCTAGAGCTGGTTCATCACATATTTGATTGCAGATTTACAGTTGGGAGATGGTGTTGGCTTAACTGTTATGTCAGATATGCAAAAGGTAAAGTTACAATCAACTTTTAATTTTTCTTCTTCCTACTTTATATATACTGTCCACTAATAGTTATTACTATTTTTTGTAGGGACTAGTATCAACTATAAGGGAATTACTACCAATGGCAGAACATAGAATGTGTGCTAGACACATTTGGTCTAACTGGTCCAAGAACTGGAGAGGTGAAGAAAGGAGGAAATAATTTTGGAGATGTGCCAAAGCATCTTATGAAGTAAAATTCAAGGAAGAACTCGAAGAAATGAATAAGCTTGGTTATAAGATATGTGAAGACTTGTTGAAGTATGATAAAGAGTATTGGTGTAGGGCATACTTTAGAGAAGATTCAAAGTGTGATGTCATTGAGAATAACATGTGTGAAACATTCAATTCTTGGATAGTAGGTCCCAGGAATAAGTCTGTTATAACTATGTTAGAAGAAATTAGACATAAAATCATGAATAGGACCATTGAAATGAGGAAGTTTGCTGAGACTTGGGTTACTGACATTGCACCAATGGCTAGGATGATACTGGAAGAGAACAAAGCCCTTTCTAGGAGGTGTAAGGTTATGTGGAATGCAGAACATGGGTTTGAAGTTGATGAAGGTGTATACAGATTCATTGTTGATTTTAGGACCATAACATGTACTTGTAGATCATGGATGTTGAGGGGCATTCCATGTCAACATGTAGTATGTGCATTCTATGATAGAGAAATGGACCTAGATGATTATGTTGCCCACTCGTATAGGAAGGAAACTTTCCTTAAAACTTACCAGCATTTCATTCAACCAATTCTCAACATAAAGATGTGGTCGGATTCAACAAATCCATCTATAGAGCCTCCGGAACCTAAACCTATGCCAGGTAGACCAAAGAGATGTAGGAAAAAAGCCAAGGATGAACCAAGAAAAAAGCATGGTAAACTATCAAAGAAAGGGGTAAAGATGACTTGTTCAAACTGCAACACAACAAATCTAGATGCAGGAAAGGGGTAAGTTCTGATATTTGTAATTCTGTCTTTTACATTTTTTTTTGCAATTCTGATATTCTTTTCTTTTACTTCTGTCAGCATGTTCCAAGAAGTGCTACTCAACAAAGTCAAAATATGCCACCACCTCCACCAAGATCATCTCAGAAAATACCATCTCAACAAAGCAATCCATTATCTATATGTGAGGATACAAGTGTTGTCAAATGACAAAGCAACAACTAATCAACTGGGCTTGGTAGAGGAAGAGGAAGAGGAAGAGGAAGAGGAAGAGGCCATGGACTAGGTAGGGGAAAGGAAGAGGAAATACACTAGGAGGAAGCTCGGCTAATGCATCAACCATTGGACATAAAAGGCTAAGGCATACTGGTTTTGGGATTTTCACTAACACTATGACTGGAACTACTATCCTGAATGTAAGGGTGTATAGTTTATTATAATGCAGTTTTGTGGGCTGGAATTGTTCTATTTTTTTTACTAATTCATTGTATTTTACAGCCTGGTATATCATCTGAGAGAGTCATATCAGCTGGGATATTCAAGGATACATCTGCAACTAACATAGACATTGGATTTAAGACCCCAGATTGAAGTTTAAAGGAAGAAATGCAGTGACAAGGTCACAACTTCAGCAAATGAGTGCAACAAGAAAAAAAGGTTCTTCAAGTCAAACAAGTTCAGCTGCATCTACACTGTGAAGCAGATCAATTTTTATTTATGTTATCTAAGATGTCACTACCAGTTTTTTGTTTGGGCAGTTATGCTCTATTAGAGTTTACTAGTTTGGGCAGTTATATGTTTGGGAAAATAATCCTCTGTTTTTTGTAATTTGTAGACCAAAACAATGCTCTATTTTTGAGCTTGGATGTAATGCTAGTCCATCACATTATGCATCACATTATGCAATAGAATGTTTAGGCAGTTATGTTTTTAATTCATGAATATGAATTTGCATTTCATTCATAACACATTATGGAAGTGCAACTGAACTTAAATTTGCATTAGAAATTGGTCATTTCCATTTCATTCATAACAAGATAGTGTACATTAACAAAAGTTCAAATTCCTAGTACCTACTTCCAACATACTATATTTTTCTTGAACTAATAGTAGCAACTACAATACTATTTGCACCAGCATATCATAAAAATACTACATTATTCTTCAAACCACCAGCATCACCAAAGCCAAATCCATAGAAACAGCACCACCACCATAACAAATAACCGCTTCAACCACGCAACTGTTTTCTTAGTTCTTTCGACTCTCTTCAACAGACCCCGTATAACCCTCTTGGCTTGGTCAAATATTTCATCATCATGCCATCTGAAATATTTGCAGCCATCTCGACCCTATAAAATTCAAAAAGAAATACGGCCAAAAAAATTAAAAACAGATTTCTTTATTAAGAAATGCAAGCGTCTAACAAAAACAATACGATCGACTTACCAATTTATAACCATAAAATTGGCGACCTGGGTTTGAAAATGACCATGATATAGTCAGTGGCGCATTAAATCCACAGTGAAAAATTTCCATTTCATTGCGAGAAGTTGTTGATTTTTGTGACATGGAACTGATAAATGAGAAAGATGAGGAAGAAATTAGATCAAGATTCAAGCTTGGGCACCTAAGCTTCAGTAGAAGGGGAAAATGGCGAATTTGCATGGGAAGAAGACGAAAGAGGAATTAGGGCATTCTTGAGAGAAAAAATGAGAAAATCGGATGTTTTAAAGTGGGTCTAACGGGTGGATTTTATTTTTACCTTTAGAATATTCACCTAAGCAAATATTAATAACATTCACGCGCTTATCATGTGTTGACATAACGCTCCTTTGGCCGGACATACATTGTGTTTAAATGGTATACACCAAAATAGAATTAAAGTGTTCAATAGGAAAATCGCTAAATTAAGGTGTCAAAATAAAAACTGGAGCCAAGTTTAAGGGGCCGTTTATATATTTGCCCATTATATTGTAATACTAGTTAGATGTTTGTTACAGGAAACTGTTGTGGTACACTGTCTACATCCACAAATAAAAAATAGTCTATTGCTACATTAGTAATATTACAATCTTTTTCTTTCATTCAAAAATAGTTCTTAGGGTATCTACCCATAGTATTTCATTGACAAACACTGGAGGAACAACCAAAAAGTTAGTTCTTGTTCCTGACTGCTTCCCTGCTTCCTTTGCCAGTTTGTCTGCCACCCTATTTGCCTCTCTGTAGATATGCCTTACTGGTGGATGCCCCAGAGCTGCTAGCAGTGACCTGTATTCATAGACCAGAGCGTCATAGATCAGATGACCTTTGTTAATGTTGTCAATTATCTCAGCCGAGTCTAAGTTAACTTCCAAGGGGAAGAAATTATTTGATACTGCTATCTTTAGACCATGCATATAAGCTATTAGCTCTGACTGGATTGTATTAGTGCAAGTGATTTTCCCAATGAACCCCATTACCCAGTCCCCATTGTTGTTCCTAATAACTCCTCCCATACCTCCCATGTTTTCTTTTTGGTAGGTAGTACCATATGTGTTTAGCTTATATGAACCCTCCTTGGTGGATGATATTTGACTCTTGGGCATTTACCTGCCATTTGACTCTTGGGCATCTACATGCCACATGTATGAACTCAACTGCTTTAGCTATAGTATTTTTGTAGGGAATATTCTCTCTTATTATTAAAACAGTTGCTATTCCCGGTGAGCCATATTTTTCAAAGGCATAATGATAGCAGTTGCCTCAACTTAGAAGATTGTTGAAGTTTTGCTGGTTTACCCTATTGAAGGTGCAACCTCACTGATGTTTGCCACTGACAATATTTTGAATACTAAGACTAGTTTGACTTTATAGGGAAAGGTTGTCCCAGAAGTGTTTGGCATTATCACAGGTGATGGGGATGTGCTCTATAGTTTCATCCTCGTTATTACAGAAAAAATACATAGGGCTTAAGTTAATGCCCCTGGAGTGGAGGTATTGGCTAGTAAGAAGTCTACCATGGATCACAAGCCATAGAAAGAATTTGATTTTATTGGGGAGGTTTTGTGTCTATATCCAGGTGAATTTATCCCCTGAGTTTTGCACCTGTTGGTATTTTTGGCCTTCAATTAGGGTGTAAGCAGATTTAGTGGAGAAAAATTCATTTCAAGTCTGGTTCCACACCATGTTGTCGATTATGTCACTGTTGGCATGGATAATGGTAGAGTGGATGTTGTTCACTACATTGTCAGGGAAGCTGAAGGACATGTTACTGAGGTTCCATTGGTTATTTGAGAAGCATGGAGACACCCTCAGGTTATCTTCTCCCCTATTCTGGGGTCCACTGATTGGGGTTCTAAGTGGTTCCATGTTTGGGATCCATCTATTATTATAGATATTGACTCTATCCCTCTTATGAACTATCCCCCTAGTAGCTTTACTGCATACTGTTCACCCATTACTTACACTCTGCCAAGTCCTAAGGGCTTTGTGTTTAGTGGGGTACCTACTAGTACAGTGCTTATGAAAAAAAACTTTGGCCCACATATCATTTGGGTTGTTAACATTCTCCATGCAATTCCTACATGAGCAGCAGTGTCCCTAAGCTCAGTTCTATGCACACCAAGGCCTCCTTCCCCTCTAGGTCTAGTAACAATTTTCCACCGAACTAGGTGCATTCTTTTCCTAATGGCAGTGGTATCCCATATGAAATTCCTTTGAATCATATTATTGTGGTTGTACACCTGGGTTGATAGCTTAATATACTATATGACATGGCTGGGATGCACCTTAGTGAGGCCTTAGTTAGAGTGATTCTCCCAGCTATATTTAGAAAGTGGGTTTTCCAGCCTGCTAGCTTAATTTGCATACTATCAATGATGTATTGAAAATCTCTATTGGTAGGCCTCTTATGAAAAATGGGAACGCCTAGGTACTTACCAAAGGATTTACTAGCCCTGATAGCCATGCCACTAGCCAATCTATCTATTGTATCCTGGTGGAAATTTGAAAATCATTGTCATACAGGACATGTTCGATTCTATTGCCAATGATTTTGGTAATCAACTTACACATTGTACTGCAGAGGGCTATAGGTCTGAAGTTATTTAGGATTGTAGCATTTGTCATTTATGGATCAGGCATAGGTAGGTTTTGTTGATAGCATGATTCATTTCATGATTGTGGAATACTTGCTTACGAAAGTTGGTGACCTTATACTCTAGAACATTCCAGTATTTTTGGTAGAACATTGGGTGTAGCCCATCAGGGCCAGGATCTTTTGTGAACATGGCACTCTTGATTTCATAGCCCTCAAGGGGGCTTTCAGTTTAGTCTGTTCCTTTGAGGATATGTTGTGGTATAGATTGTGCTCTGCCGTCCTGTGGGTGATGTTGGGTGCCCAGTAGTGTAGAGTAGAACTGGTAGATGGCATCATTGATGCCCTGTTGATCCTGAATCTAGTTCCCTACTTCATCCTGTAGGGCCATGATCCTGTTTCTCATTCTCTTATTGAGGATGGAGGTATAAAATAATTTAGTATTAGCATCCCCTTCCATAAGCCAGTTGATCCTCAATTTGATTTTCCAAAATTGCTCCTTACTTCTCATGATGGATGAGTATTCTTCTAAAAGCTTTTCCTCTAGATTTTGAAGGAAAGAGCTAAATGAGTAAGCTCTAGATTACTGGATGCCTCTTAGCCTAGCCAGATTGTGCTTCTTGTTATGGAAAATATTACCAAAAACTGCTCTGTTCCAAATAGATACTTGCGATTGAAACTGGGCAGTTCCTACCTCTAAACTGCAACGTCCTCATAAGCCTGATGAATAACATTGGTGAAAAAAGGGTGGCTGCACTACATGGGTTCAAACCTAAAAGGTTTAACTAAGATATGGCTGGGATTGTGCCACAATTTAACCAACATAGGGCAGTGGTCAGAATGGGTTCTATGGAGGTAGTTAACAATACTCGATGGGTATTCCTGGATCCAGTTATCATTTGTAAAGTATCTATCTAGTCTCTCTACAATTAGATGACTCATGTTTCTATACCTTATATTAGTCCATGTATACTTACTTTCTTTAAACCCCAGGTCAATTAATCTATAGTGGTTGATACAATGCCAGAATAGATTGGCTCTTGGAGAAGAGATGCAATTGCCCCATGCTTGTCTCTAGCCCTGAGGACTTCATTGAAGTCCCCTCCGACTAGCCAACTCCCCTTATAGTTCTCAGGTATTGCTCTAAGTTACTTCCAAAGGTTCCTCCTATTGGCATATGTATTACTAACATAAATAGCAGTAAAAAG